TGTTGGTATATGAGAAATACAAAGAACTCTATTGGTTAATCACAGATTATGCAAATTAGGCAATTCTTCACAGTATATATCTTTCATTTATCTCATTAAATTTTTTTCAATTTTCATAAAAATATGATGAAAATGTTCTTAAATAATATAAATGTGCGTACAATTACATTATAATGAAGCATCTCTAGGCAATATTTAAAATTGTAGCATCCTAAATATAAATAGAATTTTTTTGTTTGACATTCTCAATAAAAAGGTCTGTGTACTATATCAATCATAAGTCTGCAAAAAATCACATATAATATATCATTAGCAATTGTCAGTGGATATTATTCAGGAGGACCACTTCCATAGAATATCAGAAGAAGTTGCATGTTGGTATGTGAGAAATACAAAGAACTCTATTGGTTAATCACGGATTATGCAAATTAGGCAATTCTTCACAGTATATATCTTTAATTTATCTCATTTAATTTTGTTCAATTTTCATAAAAATATGATGAAAATGTTCTTAAATAATATACATGTGCGTACAATTACATTATAATGAAGCATCTCTAGGCAATATTTAAAATTGCAGCATCCTAAATATAAATAGAATTTTTTTGTTTACATTCTCAATAAAAAGGTCTGTGTACTATATCAATCATAAGTCTGCAAAAAATCACATATAATATATCATTAGCAATTGTCAGTGGATATTATTCAGGAGGACCACTTCCACGGAATATCAGAGGAAGTTGCATGTTGGTATGTGAGAAGAAAACGCATTTAAAATAAAACATATCGTTAAGAATAGAAAATCACATTACTAGTTCTAATGTACAAATTAACCTACTACACATCATCTTCAAAATAATTACAATATCTATTTCATTATAAATAGAGAATAAAATACAGAAATAGTATTATTCATTTTAATGAAGGGATCATTAAAACAGAAATTCAAATGTGAAGAAGTATAACAAATCTAGGCCTTTTAAGAATATGAATGCATTTTGCCTTGAATGCAAGGTTTGTAAATGATTGTAGAATACCAAATTACATAACTTGATAATTATAGAAATAAGCTTTTAATAATGGCCTTCGAGTGGACAATGTTACAGTATGTTACGATGATTATTTGCATTTTAATAAGGTAGGTTCTTTGATTTTCTTTACTCTTCTTGTATAACAAAAATATTAATAAGTTATACAGTAGTAGCACTTCAAATTACAATGGCCCTGGAATTAATAGCAATTGAGAGTAGCTATTTAATAGTGGAGCTATCACTTAGTGACTTGCCCATAAGCGATTAGCTCCTCCATATTCTCTGATACATATATCGTTATAGGTGACACAGGGTGTAACATACAGTACTTTACCTTTGTACCGCAGAAGTTAATATTAAATGCAATGGGGCAAGGTTCACTTACATAGGAATAGTCAAAATCTAATACTGTACATTATTAATCGATTTATTACAAATACTATAGACTAAACAAAAAAATGTAAATAATTGTAAATTCTAAAGACATACTACAGTTCCTGTGGGAAAAGCGTATGCACTTTGAATAAAAAATTTGGCTGACTTCAGGAGTTTTTAATGAATAATATATGTAAAGCTACAGTATGTATTAATCATCATAGTTTTAATTTCCAGTTAATCAGATTACAGAAGTATTTTCTAATAAATTATTATTAGTCACTAAATCCAAAAGAAATTAATCTATTAGAAAAGATTATACAGCAATTAAATTCTAATAAACAAAAAAAAATTGAAATATAGTGTTTCAAAATCAACACTTTGCAATAAACTAAAGTTGGAATATGTGAGAAAATCCATCTGTTTCCCAAAGAACATTACTGGAAAAATATTATGTAATATAAATTACAACAAGAATTGGATATAATATATAACTAATTACAAATAGGTTGATATTATAAGAAACTATATTGTTATTGTTTAATGCCAAATAAAGTGAAATAAAAATTCTTAATAAAACTTTTATATAAATATTTATTTCAATATTTTTATTGGATATCTTTACAGTAAATATTTTATAATACTGCAATATATTAAAATCTATGGAAGTAACATGTGTAAATTGAATTACTGTTTGAATTATGAACTACAAAAACACAAATAAAGAAACTAGAGAATATGAAAACAGGTGGTTAAACATTGGATTGCAATGGATGTCTTGCAACAGAACAGAGAGCATGATAAAGGGACCTTGAAAATCTTAATCAAGTGCATACGAATTCAATTGCTAATTGAGATGATAGATCTCAGATAGAGCATGCTACAATATACAACAATATACAACCATGGAGGTATATGATACAACAAAAGGAACTTTGATCACTCAGTAAGATTCACAAGGATAGTCTGTGATGGATAAAGGGCAATATCCAACTAGATGCAATTTTCATGAATATCACATTAAAAAAAGCATGTTTCTATTTAGATGTCTAGAGATGTCTCTGTCAGTGAGAGGTCTAATAACGAACAGAATTAAGAAAGTTATGAATTCCGATTCATTTTATTCATCATATAAAAGCAATATCAGGGCTTAGGTTAGTTATAATGTTAAAAACATACTGTAGATATCAAAATATATGAAAAATGTTAAAAGTATTTACAGTGTGTCTAGAAAATCTATTATTAAATAGCCATACTGCATGTGGCACAAAAGGTCCTGTCTATTTGTTTTTATCTTATAAGTTGTCATCCTACCACCAGATGATGAGAATGGTAATAATACCGTAATTATAGATATGGTAATGATTATGACATCAGCACAGCTAGAATTGTGTGGACAATGATACTGAAAATTATGTGGTAACGGCAATAATGAGCAGCGTTCTCCCAAAGCTGTTTTAGCCGTCAATTTTACCAGTAAAAATAACTGACCATCCAGTAAAAATGTTTGTGTTAGGCCTAGGTAGCCTAGGCTGGCCTTCTTTCAATAAACGAATATCATTCCAGTCCGCAGGCCCAGCTATGATTATGTACTGTTGTTTTTTTTATGCACAGAACTAACTTTGAAGTAAAAAGAACATCATGCCCTGGGTAAGCATCATGTGAACACTCGTCAAAAGTAATGAGCGTATTACGTCGTAACTTTACTCCAGACGGAAGGCCGTCTGAATATAACTACTATCATGCAGACAGAATATTTTAATGGCTCATTATTTCCATTATTAAAACATTCAACATTCCCAATTAAAAGTTTTAATTGCCAATTATTTTCAAACTACAGCTGCTAATTGCAACCTACTGCTAATTGCAACCTACTGCATGCAACCTACTAAAAAATCGCAATAATTCAAAAACAAATCATCAGCTTATAAATTAGCACAATATAAAATCAGCACAATATTCAACAAGAACCTACAATTACAGTGTACAGCCAGGACCAGACTATCAAATTTTATGTGAAATGCCTAAATATGGTCATGATGACATCATATCATGACCATATTTAGGCACATAATGACTATATATGGACATACAACATTCTTTGATAGTATGGACATAGCATAAAACTGTACTGCGGTCTGCAAGATGTATCTTAAAGGAATGCGGGAGATCCCAGCTGGAAATGTGTCACAAGATAGTTATTCATTAGGTTTCCATTTCTTCATAGGCACTGACTGGACTACTCAATTATGTTTAATTTGCTAGGTGATTCTTTCTACTTTTGTGCCTAAAATATTTGTAATCAATATATTTTGGCGGAAATTTTTCAATTGTGGTACTTAAAAATTATACTGTACTGCAGGATTATTAAAGTTCATTAAAAATTTATTTCCAAGGATATAAAACTAAAAATAATTTAATAAAATACAGATATCCTCCAGGTACAGTATGATACAACTTTAATGCTAAAACATATGTTGAAATCGGTGGCTACCAACCATACCTTTGGCCATGAATTGATAAATAATATTTTAGAGTACTTTAAACACTTCTTGAGATATTTAATTTTAAAACCAAGTTCCAACATTAGGCCTAATTTATCAAATATTGGTTTACTTTGTCCAAGAAGATGGAGTAATATGGGTTTACCAATTATGGTTAAAAAACTGTTCCATTATTTCATGCAACAGCCAAAACAAATGTGCTAAATCATCAAATTCCTGGCTTACTAGTGATTCAGTGAGAAGAAATGAGGGTAAGGATTGGTGGAGAAGGTAGTGAAAAAATAATTTTGGTAAGCCTTAGACTGTGCCAAACAAATTTTCCCAACAAGTTCTTATAATTACTTTCACAAAATCTTATTTGCATGTAATAGGTTAATAAAAATCAGTTTGAATTAATTTCTATGACATATATCTATATATTCAATATAGTTAAACGGAATAAAATATCAGTTAAAACCGACTTTCTTTCACAAAGGTAACCATTTCATTAATAGTATTTATAGAGAAGAAAATCTGACTCCTCAAGAGACATCCTCATCCCATATCATTTACAATGTAGTAGGTAGGTATATTAGTTTTAAGGCAGAAAACACCATAATTTTAAAAACAACAAATTAATTTTTACATGGAAACATTACATAAACATTACATAAATTAACACTTAAAAACATAAAATTAAGTTTGTGTACCTACTGTACTGTGTACATGGTTTCCTACCAAACCGAACAAGTTCACTGATAAGCCTATGTCGTGGCTATTATCAGATTCAGAAAGTATATATTTGTATATTCAACAATTTTAAACTAAAATACAAAGGGGTAGTATAGGCTTTTAGCACGTCCCTGAAATACCGAATACCTGGATAGTAGGCCTTAGTCGGTACGGCATCCGCCAAACACTCCTTACGGTTTAGCCGTTTTAAGCACGCGCCGGAAGCTATACCACCATTTGACAGGTTCTTAGCCCGGTATCGATACCACAACACTGGCGGTGGTACGGCAGACGTGGGGGACACGCTACCACGAAAATACTCACTGGGGAAACTGGCGATATAATCATTGCTTTGTACAAGAACAAAAATGTTTCTTACCTTGTTCTTATTAGATATTGGTCTCTTAGTAACTACATACATTCACACTGAACAGTGCGCCGCTTGGGAATGGAGATTACGATGAAATGTAATATTTATAATGAATTACCTCCACTTCTTCTCACGTCTGCCTATCGAAGTATTGATGGGCGGACCACGGAAGTAGAGGAGGTCAAAGTTTATGAGATCGTACAGGTGTACGTACAAAGGTGCGTTTTATGATTTGATTGATACAGCATTGAGATAATATTCTCTTCAAGTGTGTCTTTATGAAACCCTTCAGATTGTATAAAAAACAATCTTCTTCTTCTTCTTTTTAAAATCTAATTGCAACATATATTATAAAAGTAAATTTAAATCAATTAATATAAAATGTAAATTATGTATGATAAGATTGATTCCAGTTTAATATTTATATTAACAGTATTTTTAATTATTTTGTTCAAAATTGTCGTTGATGGATAACCATTGAAGAAAACTTTCAATGATGATATTTCAACCTACTTGTTGCACAGTCCAATTACAAAGAGCAGAGATAAAACCAGCCAACATCAGGTTTAATCTGAGAGGGCGCCATGTAAAGAGTAAATCTCTATATAGGAACTCTAAGACTTTCCAGAACAGACATTGAGAAAGCGAACTTTATTCTGTATTATCTTTCTTATGTTCAATCTTTTTTTCTTAAAATTGGTACTTCAATTCAGTGCATAAGGCTGCTGTTGTAGAAGATGACATACCAATAATCAATAGGCAGGTATATACATATATATAGGCCTATTTATATACACACATATATATAGGCCTATATATACATATATAGGCCTATATATACATATATAATATGTATATACATGCCTATTGATTATTGATAATTAAATCTAGCATTAGGCCTAATTATTATTCACCACTGGGTATCAATAGTGATCCGTATTATTCAATATTGATATTGATCACCATTGACTATTCAATAATGATCACCATTGATTACCAATATTTTCAACAACTCACATTTTCATTCTGTCTATCGTTTCTTCTGTTTGTTTATTGCTGTTCTCTTTTTTTTGTTTTCTTTACTGTTTACTGTTTTCTGCCTGTTTTATTTTTTCCTGAGCTGTACTCAAGAATATCCTCACAGAAAACAGACTTTCAAAGACAATGAGCACTCCCTGTCTTTCACACATTGTAGTTTAGATTTGTTTGAATATTTATTAAAATTGATTATTAATCAATATTTTTAACTATTAAATTTGTTCAATCTTGATTATTGTTTATCATTCAATATTGATTACAATTCAGTAACATTAAACATTTAGTGCCACTGTGCATTTTCATTGAATATTTATAACCATTGATTATATTGATAAAAATTACCATTCAATTTCAATATAGAATAAAAAATGATTATCATTATTTTTAATAACTGTCTTATCAAATATTGATCAGTATTGTTCAGCAACAGGTATTTCGTTTAGGAGGAACAGATTCAAATGCCGCTTTAGCATTTCTTATAAACGCAGACACCCACCCTTGCCTCTGCCCCCGTCACAAAGATAAACATGCACGCTCAAATTTACTGCAATTCTATTTCGATGTTGTTTTACATCAGAAAATTCCATAGGAGTGATGTTTTGCCCCGCCTGACGTGTTATTGTATTGAATGCTCAGTACGTTTCCAGATACTTGTGAACACATTCTCGCAAGTGATGCGGTTGAGAATCGAGCCCGCAACCCCAGGCAGGGGTGGCGCCAGTGGGGGACCCCGTCGGGGAAAGCTCGCCCCCCCCCCCGTCGGGGAGAAAAAGCACAATTCGTTGGAGAGGAAAAAACAATTATATGTATTTTCTACATATTAGTAGACTATAAAATCGAATAAATAAGCCTTTGAAACCCCTAAATTGTCAAAATTCCCCCAGGACCACTTTCGAAACCTTTTACTTGAAGCTCGACCACGCCCACTTTGCTTTCGTCGGGGAAATCTGACCCCTCGTCGGGGCATCGGCCCCCCCCCAACCCCGTCGGGGACCTCAGCCACCGTGTCGGGCAAATCCTGGCGCCACCCCTGACCCCAGGTAACTAGCCTGGTGTCGTAACCACTAGACCACCGAGCTTACGTTCATTGACTAGTGTTGGATCCGATCCCAGAGTAGCAGCTGGTACTGCAATCACTATTTGTATCAATCAATAGGTATTGGTAATGACTATTATGTTCAAAATTATTCTCGCCCTTCAAGGGCCCTTCTCAGTACTCGTGTTTGAAATTCTCGCTCAGAATATTTGTGTTCATATCGAGGGCGTCGGTCCGTGGTTGAAAGTGGTGGGGGGGGGGGCGAATTATCTGAAGTCTTGAGCCCATGGCCCAAGCCTTGGCTGGGGGACAGGGGCGGCAAAGGGCCCCGGTAGGGGTTCAGGGGACGCCATCCCTAGAAGCTCTGGATAGCCTTTTATAAATCATATCTAATGATTTTAAGGAATGCAACACACTACATATTCAAAATACAGTAGCGGGTTGTAAAGGGTTGTGCATTTTGAGTTTGTAAACATGTTGGCCTAATAGGTTTATACACTTTCAATTTTAACAACGTACACTACATTGCATGGCCGGCGGAACCGGTGGGGAGGGGGGCTACTTTTTGGAAGAAAATATATGTCTATGGAGATTTTTGTATGATCGGAAAGAAATGCTAGAAAATAAAGGGAGAAGAGGGAGGGGCAATAGAGTGTTTATCCAGTCCCGACCGAGTTTTTCTCGTAATTCACATTGGCGGACCTGGGGATCAAGGGCCCTGACCCCACATCCCTTGGGCAAAAGAAAAGAATAGAATAGAATAGAAAAGAAAAATAAAATAAAATAAAAAGAATTCTAGACCCACCTTTTCAGAACCCGTGAGCTGACTTTTACAATAAGGAAATTAGAATTTGGGAAAGCTCATTTCCCACCATCTAGGAATCAACATTTTCTCGGGGAAGGACCCCGACCCCTTTTTATGTTTGGGGTTCATCGATTGATGGAGAAAAGAATACGTATGCAACGTATGTATACCGGTACACACATAATAGACATATTTACTGTAATAAGAATGAGAAAAATTTACCTGATCGTTTGCAAGGGGAAACCTTAAATTTAGAAGAACTTAAAAGTAATTAAAAGACACTTCAGAAGTCGGGAAAGCTCATTTCCCGCCCTTTAGAAATCAACATTTCCCCAGGGAGAACCCGAACCCGCTTTTCTCTTTGGGGTTCATTGACTCATGGAATCGTTTACAAGAGGGGGGAAACCTTGAATTTTGAAGAACTTAAAAGTCATTACAAGACACCTCAGAATTCAGGAAAGCTCATTTCCCCGTATTCAGGAATCAAAATTTTCCCGGGGGAGAATTGTATAATTTAAGGAAAAATTTGATGAATCCAAAATCTAACATCGAAACTTTCTGCTAAGCCCCATTATAGAGCATAAACGTTCATAAACGTATTGTGAGACATGGGTGTAATAAATTGTTTACGAGTATGCCAGTACTCATAACAAACTAGTGTCTGTAGAGACGCACAGCTACAATTCAAAAATCACGAACTACGCCCCCAATACAAGTGAAAAGTTTCAAAATACAACATTTAAACATAAATCAAGAAGCCTTATATTTTTTATATAATTTGTATTTACTTACTTTCTGATGAACAGTAGGGAAAGCATACAAAAACAATTAATACATCAGACTAAAAAAAAGTTTTAAAGACAAGCATCTAGGATAAAAAGCACTGTTGCACTCGTGGTCATAACCTATGAACTCAGCACAAAGTTTACAACATATTGTTTATCAATCGAACAATATTTCAATTTTATTTCAATTATTTTAAAATTCCTCATAGAACTATTATCAGTTATTGAGAAAGTTGACACAAGCCTTGACCGTATCTCAATACTTTTACTTATCATCAATGATCAGTGGTGGATCCAGGAATTCAAAATAGTGGGGGCCCACAAGGACAGACTTTCATAGATAGAGGGTCCACCCACCTCAACCCCACCATGGTTGGGGCTGAGGAAAGGAAATTTATGATTATGTTACCTCTAAATAATTTTTTCCCTCTACTTTGTTTTATAATTTTGAAAAAATCTAGGTTGGGGGGGGGGCGACTCATGAACCCCCATCCCTTGAATCCGCCACTGATGATACCAATGTTAACCTTTAAGTTTATTAAAAACATCAAACGTTAAAATATCTTATGAAGTTAAATGTGACCATAATTAATTAAATTTATTTGAAAATGAAGATATACATTCTCTTACTAGCTATGAAAACCACTCAACATTTGAACTTATATTTTGCAATCATCAAACATATTTTTATGATTCATCCATTTAGCATGATGCTTCATAACAAAATATACACAACTCTTCAATACCTTTTTATAAATTAAAAACAAAAATATATATACAATTAATTAATCTAATTTCAATTAGTTTAAACACAGCACCTCAAGCTGTAGCGTTTGTTTGTGCCTTCTTTATGAAAATTCAATATGCATAATTTTTATTCTCGCATATCATTTAAAAAAGTTAACTTAATTTTTAAAATTGCACACTTGACATTGTTATATAGGGAGCTATAAAAACTCACAGAAGGGATTAGTGCTATCAGATTTATAGTTAGATATTGATCACTATTGATCATTCAATATTCATTTATTTAATAACCACTGATCATCATTCAATATAGATTACAATTGATTATCATTCAATATTGATTTCAATTGATTATCAGTCAATATTTATCACCATTGATTATCTTCCAAAATTACAACCATTGATTAACATTCAATATTGATTTCAATTGATTACCAGTCAATATTTATCACCATTGATTATCTTCCAAAATAAAAAAATTGATTAACATTCAATATTAATTTCAATTGATTATCAGTCAATATTGATCACCATTGACTATCTTCCAAAATTACAATTGATTATCATTCAATATTGATCCCTGTTGATTATCATTCAAGTTTGCTTGAAATTCTGCGAATAATTTCACTTAGTGGTAAAAACAGATACCATCAATACCATCTTGAAATTACTATATTCATTACACACACTCACAAAGCAAACTTACCATATTTACAAGTTGATTCATTCATAATCATGATTGCAAATCTATTTACATATAACTCTGTGAGATATTTTACGTACATTTTTGGTAAAACACGTCTATACAATACAACATTGTCTAGAAGACAATCAAAATAATATTTTATCAAACTTGATAGCAACCAAGCTTCGTAGGTGATAATACTTTACCACACATTACTATCTTAGTTATTACTTAGGTTGATCAACCTGCGGAACATGCACTCATTTCCTGTGAAGTATTTCATACTTTTGCATCTAGTAATAAGCAAACAGGTATACAACGTTCTTATGTAAGTATTACTTAACATAAAGAAAGTGCCTAGCCTAAGGTCAGATGTGAAAAAGTTGTTAGCCGAGACTCGAACCTCCGCTGAGACTCGCACCAAGGGTGTGTGTGTGTGTGTGTGTGTGTGTATATATATATATATATATATATATATATATATATATATTATATATATATATTTATTTATATATAAAATGTAATAAGATTTTCATAACACCAGAATTGTCTATGCACTTGTCAAATCATATTTTTGGTATTTGATATTAAAATTCCAAAACAGATGATTCAGTCATCATTCAAGTTGGTTATGTATATATAAAATACAGTGATTACATATACTATCACCAATACATCTTACATTAACCAAGCCTAAACATATCATAACTCTCCGTAGTTAAAAGTAGTTCATCTTAAATCTACCACTCAGTCTAAAAAAAAACATGATTGATTACAATACAAGATAACACTGCAGAATTTCCTAAGTAAATGTGTAGAAAAACATAGTATAGGAAATAAAAACCAGACATTTGTATTTTTATCAAGATCCCCTATTCTTATTATTAAGATCCCTCACAAATATTTAGTACACAATCATTACAGAATATGGGGTTACAATGATGATGCATTGATAAAACCAAAGTAGGGGTCTTTACCTTCTCAAACATTTAGGTTTGTCAATATTGTCATTCAGATAAAAATAAAATCACATGATTGTGAGATCTTGAGTTTTGGTAAAAAAAAGTTGCAGAACAGAGTTAAAATTGGTCCTTAATCAAAACAATAACATATTTACAAAACCTACATTAAAATAAAATTAAACTAACAGTGTGTGAAGTTGGCATATTTTATAAGGTAGTCTAAATTAATCTAATGATAATAATATAATAATAACAATTGTCGACTTATATAGCGCATATTGTAGAGACCTCTATGCGCTTAGCATTTATTATGGCCACTGGATCAAGCACAAATGGAACACATACTCAGGTCCCATGGGAGAATTCCATAATGATACAGCTGTAATGAGCACTTTTTTTGTGTTTGAACCTATCAGGTACCCACTTGTACTCCTAGGTTGAGAGACAACCGTATGTAAAGTGCTTTGCCTAAGGACACAAGCGAAATACACAGCGAGGGACTGAACCTCAGACTGATTCTATATTACAGTATATAGGAAAATTTAAATAAAATATATTATTTAATTGAAATAATTTGACCACCTTGACCACTACTGTACTGAATCTGTTCTTTTTTTGTTTAAATAAAATACAATTATTTTATTTAGATGACTGTGAGATCTTGATTTACTGTGTGTAAAGTTACAATATCTTTTATAAGGTAATCTCTTTTGATCTAATTCTATACTATATCTGAAAACTACCTTGACAATTACTGTATAGAATTTCTCTTGGAAAGAAACAGTTTTTCTTTCCAAGAGAAGATCGCAAATGCTATAAGAAATTTGTTATTTATTAAAATAAAGTTTTATGAATTAAAATAATTAATCAATTGATTTAATTGAAATTCTTCTTTATTCTCTTAATTACACTTTATTTCAATACGTAAATATTAAAAAAATAAATAAATAATAAAAATTGAATAAACATATAAATAATTATTATTTATATTGCAACACTGCATGTGCAAATGTTTACTGTTTTATTCCCATCTCCTTCTACAATAAATATTCACTCCTCGGTTAAATCAATCTTTTTAAAATCCTAGATTACATATAAACTCTTGAACGTATTCTTATTATCACCACACTCTGCATCATATTGTGTATTCAGGTGCTAAAAATTATAGTAAACTGTAATTTTGCTCCGCAAATACATATCTCAAACATGCACTCCATCCATGTACTTCCTCTTGGCAGTATCATCCCAGTAAATGGAATGATCCAACTCTAGATGCTTCTGTTGTAGAGTTGGCTGTTTATTTTTCTTTGGGGCACAGCTGAAAGATTTAGGATATAAAATGAAAATGATAAATATAATATTTAGAGTTATTGGGATACATAATAATGAAAAGAATCATTTGATTTTTGGAAGAAAAAAAATTGTACTTACCAAGCGAAGTAAATAAGAACGAGCGTAATGACGATGACTAAAAGGGCGCCCCCAGCAGCTGCATACATCCATACAGGTATGCCACCTGGAACAAAAATGATAAAAGATTAGAATAAACCAAAGCAGAAAGTTATCATGGGATGGTGTCATTATTTTCATTTTACTATTTAAATAAATATTTTAGTTTTTCAATTTCAATCTACTAAAATAATTACATATGGCAGTAAAAACACCAAATTGCATAAACATTATAAAATAGATAAAATTCAATTATTATGGTCTGGAATAATTTTTTTAAAATAAATAACATCATCATACTAACCCAAGAAACCTTCCCCATCATCTTCTGTTTCTGCTGTTCGGTTCCTTATATTCTCTCCTACATTGCCTGAACTGGGCCTGGTCATTGGTCCTTCGGTTACCAATTCATCTTCTCTTGCGCACTTCAATATATCACCAGATGTGAAACTGCATGAAGTAAACCAAACTTATTGAGAAGGTTTGAACATAAACAAATTTACATCTTTAATGTATTGAGACAGACAAATGAAAGGTGGACTTTGAAGGTTACTGGATGCTGCACTCTATGTGAATTTGCTTACCTGTAAAAGGGCCGTAGGCCTGATTTACACTGGCATTTACCATTGCTGGCACAGTACGATTCTTTCACACTGCACACTGGTATGCATTTCCTCTTTTCCTGAGGTTTTGAATCCTTCAAACATCCTCCTACAAAAAGAAGAGACTTTTTGGATGAGTCATCATCAACAATTTTCAAGTGGGGTCTCAAATTAGAGGGCAAACTTCAAGAACATGAAGTAAGGTAAATTTGTCAGTACACTGGAGATAATTCTCTACTTCTGAAAAGTGTATAAGTTCATTTTAAGTGAATAAATTAACTATGTACAAAGGACCAAAATCTTAATTTCCCATCTCAAGAATGAGGTAACTATCCCATGTAAAATGAAAATCTACATTTCTAATCTACAAGTTAAAATTACCTGTTACATTGACCCTGTCTGACCTTTGACACCATACTTGCCTCTCCCCTTCATACCAGCTACCTGTATGCCAGGTGAATGCATAGCATGTATCACCTTTATAAACAAATTGAAAGTAATAATTAAAAAAGTTATTTTTTTAAAAATAATCAGCACCATAGTATTTGTCCTGTGACCAGAAAGTAATAATAAAACAAAAATAAAGAACAGCCACAAGATAAGCAAATCATACAATTAAGAGAATTTACAACAAACTTAACTACTGGTCTATTAGCACTCTCAGTCATTCGCTAAAAAAATTACCTTGACATGGTCTTGTTCCTATTTCATCTGCTGGGCAATTTTCTCTGACTGATATTGATGCGCGTGAACGAGACTGGACACCTTCTGAGCCTAAAATATTATATCATAATTGCACAATATTAAATGCTAATTTTAATTCAAATAAAAGTGAGTATTATATGACATCAGTTTTTTGTTTTAGTGTGTAATTCTTGCTTGTGTACGGCTGAAGACATTCAGCAAAATCTTTTACTCTTTTATGTTTTTAATAATTTTATGATAAATTAAATGCTTAAATGTTGTCAACACTTTTCAAAAGTAGGCATTTGCTTACCTGAGGGAACACCTTTTATACACATGATGAAACACGGACTCCAGTCACTCCACTCTGTCAGTTGACACTCCCCAGGGCACGGCACTGTACAATCTTGCTCTCGCTAAAGAAAACACAATTTTAAAATGTTTTAAACTATGCAATTTAGTAAATAGTAATTACAGAAAAAGAAATTTAGAATTTGTTTTATTATTATTGGAATTATTATTAGCATATATAATTTTGGAAACTGTGCTACTAATTAAAATTTTATTTAGCTAAAGGTAAGCCAATATTTTCTTGTATTATTTCACTGAACCACCGTAAAACAAAGGTGGTCCATTCATCAAAATGTATCAGTTGTTCATATTCATCCTTATATGGGCCTTTTTTGCATATAAAATTTAGCTGATACTGTGTGAATGTATTGAAATATTTGACCATGATAATACATGGCAATTACACTTGTGAAATGTTAACTTTACCTGGAACTGCTCAAAACCATCTCTAGTGATATTGATGTTGTTTTTGAAATAAAGTTTATTCACGCATTTATTGTCGTCCACTACTGCCCCATTATGCTCCTGGATACATCTGACCTCTCTTCGTCTGGTTCCCTGACCGCAATACCCATCCTAAATAAAGAAATAAATACAATGACACAATAGCAGAGGAATGATGCGATGGTGCAGCTTCCTCTGCATTAGCCTGTTAAGTACTGTCTAGACTACCAAATTTGATTTGATAAAAATCATGTGACATGCCTAAATATGGTCATGATGACATCACATCATGACTATGTAGGCTCATCATGGATATATCATGGCCAAACAACAGCTTTTTGTCAAAGAAATTTGATAATATCGACAGCTTTAGATTATTTTAAATCCTATAAATATGTTGCTTGAATACAATTCAGGCACACACTGCAACGGCTAACGCGATTCAGTGGGGAATGCAACGCCACAATGGATCGTTTTTAATGATGATTCGTTCAGATTGCCACCAACAATCAGCAGACGGTGTTGCGTCATCTAAGCGTTGCGTCATCATACAACACGGTGAGTGCCCAGCTTAACTATAGTTGCCTGTACTTACTTCTGCCTTGCAAGTACCCCATTCATCCACCACTAGGTTATAGCATGGATCCGCAGGGCATGGCTTCTGCTGGAAGCGTTCCGGTGGACATGCCTCTCCGGCATCGTTTGGTGTCTGGAGCATCTGTCTACTACGGCTCATTATACCTGTAGTGTAGAATAAGTCATGGAATGAGAAAACCTACGTCTGAAAAGCAACTATAATTTTCTTTCTTTCGCAATTAACAACTTGTTTGTATTAATGCATCACTAGTTACTAAAGTAGAGTAACTTTAAAAACTGTATGAAAAGGAAGGGCAATGTGTAATAAAATCGAGGAACACTTTATTACAAATACAATCTTAAAAATCCTCTGGACTCGGAGTATGGCAGATAAGTCTCTTGGTCTGTCTGTCAG